TGCAAGTGTCCTAGAATGCAAATTGGATCACACCACTCTTGGGCTGAAAGCGCTTCCTTGTGGCCCCATTGCCTTGAAGATAAAGTCCCACCCCTGCTTTAAGTCTTGCCCTGTCCTAGTTACTTTTCTCTTGTTGCTGAGATAAAATATTCAATGCTCAAAATTAAGGAAGGAAAGGTTTACTTAGCTCAGTTTGTGGAGGTTTCAATCTATGGTTAGTCTCCGGCTCCAAGGCAGGGTGGCACATGACAGAGGGCAACAGTCCATGGAGGCCAGAAGACAGCAAAAATAACAAGAGCAAAAAGGAGAGAGAGAGAAGACTCCCTGTTCCTTATATTATAGGTAGGCCACAGCCACTCCAAGGTGGGTGTAGCACTCACACTCAGAATCCCAGAACCATGAATCAATCAAAATTCCAGAAGCCGGCCCCCATGACTGCATGAGGCTTTGGGGGACATCCAGACACAAACCATAACACATAGCTTCTTAAAATGTGAATTTTAAACCTGAATGATTATTCATATGGATCATTAAGACACTGATACAATTGGTTGCCATCAAGGTTGGGAGTAGAGACTAAACGTTAGGATACAGGGGTGGGAGTAAGACTTTCCTATTACCTCGTTACTCCTTTTGAATTCTAAATAATATGAATATATTCAAATAAAAATGAGGCAGTAGCATTAATATTATGATATATCGGATATTACCTTAATTTAGATTCTGGTATAGTAAAGTGGCAGTAAAAACCAAGTATTTTAAAACAGATACAAGGGAGAAATGCTATTTTTGTGTATTTCAAAAATGCTACTTTTTTTGTGTGTACTAGGAACCAAACTCAGGACCTTGCACTTGCCAGGCAGGTGCTTATGCCACTGAGCTATGTCCCCAGCCCTAGTTGGTTATTTGCTTCTACAGATAGCACCTTGGTTTGATGTTTGATTGGAGCTCAGTTTTGGATTCATCACTTTTTTTGAGTGTTACTAGGGATTGAGTGTTACTCAGGGCTTGTGCACAGAGTTACATCAGTAGCTCCTTTTTATTTTTATTGTGAGATGAGATCTTGCCAAATTTCTCAGGCTGGCCTTGAATTTGCAATCTTCCTGCCTCAGCCTCCTGAGAAGCTAGGTTTACAGGCTGTCAATGTGCCAGACGGGAATCCCAGCACTTAAGTAAAGAGAATGGCGACAGTGTGTTTTGCTTGGGTACATGTTAGAGAAATTCACAGTGATCTGAGTGGAACATTCTCTCTGACACATTCTGTAAAACCATGAAGGGTGTTGGAGATGTGGCTCAGTATAGTGCTTTCATGAGGAGGCACTGGGTTTGATTCCCAGCACAGCAAAACAATAAAACATTAGTAGATCATCACTTTGGTATTATGGATATTGTGACTTTGTGAACCATTTTCCTACAATAAATTTAGCATCATGAATAAAAAAGAAAATCACAAAGTATGCATATAAGTGTTTATGGAATGAGGAGGTGAAATCTTGTGAGAGCCAGTCAAGGACTTTGTCAGTGGCTTCATCTTGCCTCTGAATTGCATCTATGACAAAGATCCTCATAGTGGACTTGTGACCCTTTCTGCCTCCGGGAAACACATAGGTAAGCACTGATCAGGAAGTTCTCTATTAGACAGTTCTTGAGACCAGATGTCTAAGATCCAGATACCTTAGTTATTTAAGGTAGGGGGTAGAAAACAAGTGTTTGACAAGTAAATGTGCATAAAATTGTCATCTGCATAATTTTCACTCCTCAACTATGTCCTTCATTTATTATGTTTAAAGCCCAAGTCAACCTTGTGAATAAGTCTGTCCAGCCCCCACTGTAGAAATGTGGAGAGTAAGGCTGGCAGGTGGAGTGATGTGATGGGTCATACTTGCTACATAACTCAAAGTCATACTTTTTGAATATCGGAGTATTCTTTCCTCTCTAAAAGATCTGGTGATTTGAATTTGGAATGCCATTCTCTTTTTGGGTTTTGATTCACTCCTTATTTAAAATTTTGCTCATACTGCTTCCCCAGAAGGCCATTTTAGACAAAGCCCAATAGTTTTTCTAATACCTCCCAAAAGTTTATTTCCAGTATCTATTTGTGTGTGTGTGTGTCACTGGAAATCACACTTAGCTACATCCCCAGCCCATTTTTTTTTTAACTTGACAGATTCTCCCTAATTTGGCTAGGCAGGACTCAAACTTGCTATCTTCCTGCCTCAGCCTTGCAGAGTCCTGGGATTATAGGTGGACTACCATACCCAGTTCCAATAGCTATTTTTTCCATTATCTGTTTTCTAGTGCCCACTATTTATTACATTGCAGTATAAATTTTAGTTTTATTGTATTGGTTTATTTCTTACCTTTTCTTGTTATATATAAATTATGGTTATTACAAATAGTACTACTTTCAGCTTCTGGACATTTGCCATATATTTTAATTATATTCAGATGACTATGAAATTATGCTTTCAGACTTCTGTGTATGAATAACCTAGGTTAAAAATAATCTATTTTAAAAATAGATTTTTTGCTGCTTTTCTCATATGTTCAAATTCAACATAGCAGGGGCAAAGCCCACGACTCTACATTTTAATAAGCACTCTGGAGGATTCTGATGCAGGTGATCTAATAACCACACCTCTAGAAACTTTGCAATTCAAAGATGAGAATCAGATTTCCTATATGAGATATCTGTCCTATGCTCAGCAGGCAGTACAGGTGTGCTAAATATCTGAGCTCATGATGTCTTGGTCTTCACAAATTTTTAGGGGAGAAAGAGATATTGCCTAAGAGCCCATGGACAGAAGACCTCACTTTCTGGCCAGAGTATCATGATCAGTTTCATTACAGATAGATTGAGTTAGATTTTGAAGAAAAAATAGATTTTAACAAGCTGGAGGGAGAGGATATTTCAAATGTTGGAACAGCAAGGGCAAAGTTCAAGGAAGCTTTGGGTTATCAGGAGTGAAAATGCTGCGTCTGAGTTGAAAGAAAAAAAAAAAGAAAAAAGAAAAAGGAGAGAGGGAGGGAGAGGACTATGCAGACACTTAGGATTTATACCGAGAAAGACAATTAGGCCTCAGGTTGAAGCCGTGATTTGGATGGTATTCTGTAGGCTCTGGGTGGTTCTTCAAACTAGGTGGTTCTTCCAAACGACCTTTGGAAAGGCCAATTTGGCAGTGACTTTGAAAGTCTGGCACCATCTTTGGGGCTCCGCTACCCAAACTGTCAGGAAAGGCCGCTTTAAACCTTTGTGAAGATCAATTCAACATGACTTGCAGTTTGACCAGGCTGCTGAAGTTTGAACCTTCTAGATTGGGAATGATACATGCTGTATAAGAAGTGTTTTAAGTACTAAGTATGTGTAAGTCTAGAACACTGGAATCTTCTGAGCACATGCATCCAGCCGCTTTACTTAAACACACAGCATTATTTTTATTATGTCGGAAGGAATAGACCTCGTAGAAGAGGACTACAATCTTGGGACCAGGGCAAAGGCAAACTGCTCAGAGCACTTAAGGTTTAAGTACAATTACACGGGAAGCACAGACACAAAACTTAAGGTGAATAGTAGTCCTTGAGAAGTTTAATGTCTAGACGGCCCCTCCAAGGAAGAGAGTCCCAAGAAAAATCTAAATTTTTTAGATCTAAAATCTACAAATCCTCGATCACCGAATTTGTACTTTGTACTGTTGCTGGAGTTCTTACAGGCCTTCTGCTGAAGAAGGGGTGAAAATTAGTTCGCGACTACTCTAGAAATGAGAAATCTGTTTTTGGAGGGCATGGACTTGCAGACCTTCTTCAAGTAACCGCTAACCTGCTCAAACCCTACAAGAGTTGCTCTCAGAGAGTTGCAATGCCTAAACTAAAAATTTGTCCCTGAACTATCAATCATGAGGTTTAGAGCTAGCAAGGCTCCAAGTCCCACCCAGCAGAGCAGCACCTCGGTCTGATTGGGTAAACTCACTTCCTTGCTTAAACCCGAGACTCCTTCGCCTGTTAATCACACTGCTCCTGGGCCCGCCCCGCCGCCCCTCCCCCTGTGACGTAACATGCGGTGCTCGCTCTTTTGCACTCTACCCCTTAAACTCCCCACCCGTCGCTTCTGTTCCTCATTGACCAGCAGGGATGAGGAAAAGGGAAGGATGGTTTATTTTGCTCTTTGTACTGCCCCCTCTAGTTTTTCACTCTTCTCACAAGCTGACAGGAGAGCAACTATAACCGCAGCTGCGCGCAGGCGTGCAAACGTGCCTGCTGCTGGACGAGCTTTTCTTCCCGGGAGAATTCATTACACGGTTGTGACGCAGATGGCACCCGCTCACCGCCTTCACTTGCGATTGGTTGTAGCTGAAGTCCGTCAATCAAACAGCCACGCCCCCTTCTTCAGCCTTCACCTCGCGCCTCCGGACTGCCCTAGAGGCCACACCTCACACGGCTTCAGCCGCTTAGCCCTGTGATTGGCTGAGGCTGCTGGCATGCTTTTCCATCCCCTGCCCCCTCCGGAGCCTTGAGAGGCGGGCGGGACCCCGCGGAAGTTGTCAGTCAAACTCCTCCCGCCCCCCGCCAGGCCTTTCCCCGGGTCGCGCGCCCTGGAGCGCGCGCGCACACGCACACCCCCCCCCATCCCGCGCGCGTACCAACCACCTTCTCAAGTTGTAGCGGTCGCTCGCCGGGGGCTCTCCGTGGGCGGCCGGCGGGCGCGCGGGGGAGGCGTTCGCACCGCGCGGCGCTGCTCTGAGCGAGTGTGTGCGCGCACAGCGTTCCGTGCCGGCGGGGGTCGCCGTCCGGGACCATGTGGGGCTGGCGCTGACAGGGACCGGAGAGCACCGCGGCGGAGCTCCGAGCTGACCCGCGATGGCAGCGCGCCAGGAGGAGGCTCCGGGCCGGGCACACGGCGCTGCCAGCGGGCGCTGAGGCGCTGATCGGCGGGCGAGCGGGGCCGACGGGACGAGAGGGGCCCCCGCCGCGGCCGCCCCAACTTCAGGCTCTCGGCTACCCGCCCCGCGCACCCGAAGTCAACAACTTCTGCCCCCCTCTACCCCTGCTCTTCCCGTCGTCGGCCCCGGACGCTCGGCGCGTGGCGGGGACCCGGAGCCCCGGGCGAGCGCGGGGATGCGGCGCTGAGGCGCTGTCGGGCGGCGAGGACCGGCTCGGCGGCGCCCGGGGCGCGGGGAGCGGGCGGGGGCTCCGCGCGCCTCTCCCCGCCTCCTCCTCCTCCCGCCTCGCTGCCCGCGCGGTGCAAGCAGCAGCCGGAGCCGCCGCCGCGCGCCCGGCCCGCGGAGATGTCGTCGTCGTCGCCGCCGCCGGCGGGGGCTGCGAGCGCCGCCATCTCGGCCTCGGAGAAAGTGGACGGCTTCACCCGGAAATCGGTGCGCAAGGCGCAGAGGCAGAAGCGCTCGCAGGGTTCGTCGCAGTTCCGCAGCCAGGGAGGCCAGGCGGAGCTGCAGCCCCTGCCCCAGCTCAAAGGTAATCACTGGGTGCGGTGTCGGGCCCTAGCCCGGGGAGGGGGCGCGCGCCTGTCCCCAGCCCTGACTCAAACAGGTTCCCTGCGAAGTCTTGTTTCGGTCTGCTCCCTGGTTCGCATTAACTCTTAGCGTCTCGGAGGCCAACACCCCTTCCCACCTGCGCGCTTGCCTAACCTGCCCTTCCTTTCGGGACTCCTGCGGCCCGGCCCGCGAGGCAGAGTTCTGCACTTTCCCCCGGGCCTGGCTCTCTTGCTTGGACGTCGCCAGTCGTCCTCCGACCCTCGCTTTCCCGAGTCATACCTCCTGTTTTCGATCGCTCTTAATCCTTCACTTTTTGTATTAGACTCTGTGCACCCACTCCCCATCCCCATCCCCACTGATTGTTAAAAGAGTCAGACCAGAATCCACATGCAAACAACAGGCAAGAGTTAGCTGGTCTGTAGATGTGTTTATTAAATTAAAAAAAAAAAATTGGGCCAGCGTAGATCAAACTTACAGGATCACGAAAATACTCTGTATGTACACACGGGTCACTTTGGAGGCGTGTGAACCATCAGAGAGTGTTGTTTTGCAGTGGGATGGGCATTTACCTCACTTGTAGGGTTTGCACAGTAATTCAAATTGTTATCCGTGCCTAATGCCTTGCAGAAGAACTTGGCACTCTTTGGCGCACTTACTTTTTCCACTAGGTTGAAAGGCTTTTCAGTAAGTTGTTTCCTGGTGTTCTTGCTTATTCTGCAGGAAACACTGGGTTTTAACTTTATAATTTTAACATTGTTGCTTTTTATGAGGTAGAAGTCATTATGGAACGAGATGATTATGTCTCTAGACATTTAGAGTCCTTGCAATAAAAGAAATCTGATAAAAATCTAGATCATCTGTTTGACAAGGCCAGGAAATAGAAGGATCATGCAAAAATAGATGAATGTCAAGCAGACTTTTCAATCCATTTGAAAAAGATCCAACATCCCTTTCAAGGCCAATCTGGTTCTGATTTGTCTTTAGGTTTATGAATCCAACCTCAGTTTGGCACGGAATCTAAAGAAAGCCCCAGATCAAATCACGGTTGACGAACAGTAGTTTTGGAACCTCATTCACACCCTATATTACACTGCCTCCTGGGGTGCTTCCAAATCAAGGACATCTCATAGCCAGAATCAGACTGGTTTTTGAAAAGAGGTTTTAAGATATATTTAGTTCGTGCTATTGCATTTATGATTTGATTGCTCTTTAGCATACCAAAAGTATTATAATTCATGTGGTATAGTCTATGGTAGATTACGGTGGTGGGCATTGCTAAAGACTTTAATTCTTTAGGTATATTGTAGCTATAAGAGAATATCATCTTATCTGTAAGGATATTGAACTACATATTCATAGATATAAAATTTTACACTTAAAGCATAATTACTTTGATGGTTTTGGTTTTTTTGTTGAGCATCAAATTATTTTTCCTTTTGGTGCTTGCATTTTTTTTTACAATTTTTAGTAAGACATTCTGGTTCTCAATATTGTACTATTAATATTCACTTCTGTTTCAGAAAATAATTCAATATCAAACATTTTAACCGGATGTGTCTTTAATACATCTTATTTTTAAAAGCTTGTCAATAATATGTATAGAATTTGTAGTCATCTAACTTATATAGTGTTTAGTTCAACAAGTGGGAGCTGCCATAATTTTTATTTACAGTGTCTGGTCACTAGAAAAAAAATAAATTGGAACTTTAGGTTGATTCTAGATACTTATATGCACATGTAGTAGTCTTCATAAGAAAAATTATTCAAGATAAATTTATTCAGGATAACTTATGTAGATTTAATTAAGGATATAAGACACCCTTGCTTGTATTACCCACTAATGGGAAAAACTACTTGTACTTCAAGTCCCGAAAATGCTTGAAAAGTGCTTTTTTTTTTTCTTTAAATTCAGTTGCTTCATTTGGTCCTTGACAGTGTACTTAATACCACAGTGCTCTGTGTGTGTGTGTGTGTGTGTGTGTGTGTGTGAGTGTGTGTGTGAGTGTGTGTGTTTTTGCTGTCAGCAGTAGTTTTTTCCATTTGTGGCTTTGACAAAAAACTGTAGACTGCCCTTTAGTATGTGTATGAAAGAGAATTTTTCTTCCTGTGCTGAAATATAATCTTACTGTGGAGTAATTCGGATATCTCTGGGCATCCAAGATCTTTCAAGTGTTTATACCAACTTGCTTATGTTACACTTTGTCCACATGAGTCTAGGCTGGGAAGGTGCCAACTAGTTTTCCTCAAAGCATACTGTGAGTAAGTATTAGCAAAATAATCCAATTTTTTCCTCTATAGGAGGTTTATTTTTGTAAAATCATTTAGTAAGTGAATCACAAGATTTTAATGGTAAAGATGTTGAAGATAAATTGTTTTGTCATAGTATTTAACAAACAAGCCTTGTTCAATTTTGTTTTTTTAAAAGAATTTATATAGGTCCTAAAATTAAATTAAATTATATTTTAAAGCTTAGATTCCCCCCACAAAGATGTTGTCTTTCATTATGTTCATTATATAAGCTACTCTGAGAGCTAGATGCTAGAAAATAAAATTAGGAACATTGTGTCAATAATATTTTTGCATAAAATTTTGCACCTTAAACTTTTCATCTGATGAGCAACAAGTATGAAAACTTAATCTTAAGAAATCTGTTATAGTAGTTTTTAGTCTAACCCATTTTAAGTTTTTGGAAGGTTTGATTTGGAAAAGTAGTTGATAACCTTGTATTTGTTCAGCAGTTTATCATGTTCAAATTATTTTACCTTTTTATTTTTAATTGTAAAATAGTAACCCTCATGACAGACCAAAGACATGTAACTTGGTATCTGTAATCTGCTTTTTCATACCTGCTAAGGAATGCTACTATATCCCATGTCTCAGTGTGTTGTTATCAATATTGTATTTTATTGGGTCATCCTAGTATCTTCTTTGAAGACTAATATTACTCCCATTTTATTGCTGAGAAAGCTGAGGTTCAGTTTGGTTTCAGACTTGTGATTATTTGTTTGGATGGTTTGCAACTGATACTGAGACTCAGTCAGATGATTTCAGTATTTTTGCTGTTAACATGTTTTACATAAATTTGAAGCAATATGATAGAAAAAGTTGGGTCCCTGGGGTTAGTCCTGGGTCAAAGGTAAATTTTTAATCTTTTTGAGTTGTTTTCCTTATCTATAAAAGGGGATAATACCTTCTAACTCCAGGATTGAGGGGATTAAGTGAAATAATTTGAGTGTCTAAAAATAGGTAAAGAATGTTAGTTCCCATTCTGTTTGATATTTGGAAATCCAGATTTAAAATATTTTAAATGAAGCATTGTTAGTAGGATTACTTAAATAGGAAACTTTCCCAGTGTATTTGAAGTAGGATTTTATTGATAATGTTTTCAGATGTGATTTCATGAGTGAGGTAGAGCTATACCTTTTTTCAACCTGAGTGTAGAAATGAAGATAAAGTCAGACTTGGTAATATTAAAAGCAGCCATAAGAATTTTTTTTTTTTAAACCAAGCAAATTGTGTAATGGGCTTGTCTCCTCGGGTACAGCCAGTCAGTGGTAAAGAGCAGGCTGAACTGCTTTTGAGATTGGAGTCCTCGTCAGAGAAGGTAAAGAAGTTCCCAAGTATCACTCAGCTCCTTTGCTGGCCCCTGCTTGGAAGCTGGGTACCAGTGCTGCTGACTGAAGTGCCGTGCTTAGCACTGGGGGGCCGAGGCGGGATGTACGTGTGTTCAACGGAGGTTTGTGTTCTCTGAGTTAATTGTGGAACAAGAGCACAGATAACATCTGAAGTTCTGTAACTTTTTTTTTTTTTTTTTTTTTTTTTTTGGCAGGACAAAACACTAGTCCACTTAGCTTTTAAGGTTCATAGATGTCAAAGTTAGTGTCATTTCATCTAAACACAGGGCCATGTTTGTATTTTGGATGGGATTAAGGGAGAGTTGAAATTCATGTTAAGAAGTTTATTTCTAGCCAGATGTGGTGCACACCTCCAGGAGGCTGGATCACAAGTTCCAGCCAGGGTGGGTAGTTTATTCTGCCTAACCTACCACAGTGGGGTGGAGGGGTGGGGAGATACAGTAGTTCAGGAAAGACTGGGGTTCAGTTCTCATGGGGGGTGAGGGGAGGGCAAAGTAAAACTTTTTAGGACTGTTTTCTTTTAGGACTATTGTTGTAGCTCTTCTGGGAGATTTAATTTTTTCTTTTCACTTTCTTAGTATGTACTTCTTCGAGAAATTGCTAAATATGGTGGCTAATGTTAGTCTTTGCATGAAGGAAAATCTTGTGCTTCCGTCTAACATTTTCAGAGTTCCTAATTTAGGGTCGTATAGTCACGCATTTACCTGTTTGTTTCTTCATTTAATTTTGGATTGTTTAATGAAGTGTCTAATTGAGTAGAGTGATAATCCAGGAATGTGTGTTGGCATTCTGGTATGGCTCTTGGAGTGGCACCCAACCCTGTGAATTCCTACTAGTAGGCTTACACTATCTTCTTCCTTCGTGGTGACTCATAATGGCTTTGGGCTGGTTGTTTAACCCTTTTGAACTTCTGTTTAATCATTTTCACCTACAAAAATAGAATTTTTTCCCTTGATAAAAATCACAAAGGTGAATTAGCCTCTAATGAGTTATTGCCCCTTTGGATTTCAGAGACAAGCTTATCAACAAAATTAATAACAGTTAAAAATAATAGATTTTTGTGCTTTTTTTTAGTTTAGCTTTTTACATTGTAACATCTGGACATAAAGGCCATGGTTATTTTTATGTGGTTGGCATTCTGATTCTACTTGCCTTACACTTAACGAACTTTGAAAATATCCATATGTGGGCCCCACTCCAGAAAGATTATAAGTTAATAGCTGGAAGGTAGAATCCAAGCATGTGTAGGTTTAACGGCTCCCGGGGGAATTCTGGCGGTCAGTTCAGAATCATGGATTCAGCGTTATCTGTCTCTTGATTTAATTCATTAAATGAGAAGTCGTCC